ACATACATACATACATACATACATACATACATACATACATACATACATACATACATACATACATACATACATACATACATACATACATACATACATACATACACATACATACATACATACATACATACATACATACATACATACATACATACATACATACATACATACATACATACATACATACATACATACATACATACATACATACATACATACATACATACATACATACATACATACATACATACATACATACATACATACATACATACATACATACATACATACATACATACATACATACATACATACATACATACATACATACATACATACATACATACATACATACATACATACATACATACATACATACATACATACATACATACATACATACATACATACATACATACATACATACATACATACATACATACATACATACATACATACATACATACATACATACATACATACATACATACATACATACATACATACATACATACATACATACATACATACATACATACATACATACATACATACATACATACATACATACATACATACATACATACATACATACATACATACATACATACATACATACATACATACATACATACATACATACATACATACATACATACATACATACATACATACATACATACATACATACATACATACATACATACATACATACATACATACACATACATACATACATACATACATACATACATACATACATACATACATACATACATACATACATACATACATACATACATACATACATACATACATACATACATACATACATACATACATACATACATACATACATACATACATACATACATACATACATACATACATACATACATTTGGGGCCGCGTTAACGCAGTCGATAAGAGGCTGGCTTTCAAATCCAACTGCAACTCGCTGCAGCCCACTGTCGGTGTTCGAAACAAAGCGGTTCCCGGGGTTCACCCCGCCTCTAGGAATTTGGTACCAGAGTGATACTCTAGGGTAAATGGTGGAACGTCGCTGTAGCTACAGAGTTAAGTGCGAACGGCGTTACAGGCGGACAATTCTTATCAGCTGTCCGTACTGGTGGCAGAGCACTTATGGTTTATAACCGTGTTCAATGACGCTGGCTCCCATCTCCCGACTTTACCTTTACGCATCCATCCATCAATCAATCCAGACAGACAGACAGACAGACAGACAGACAGACAGACAGACAGACAGACAGACAGACAGACAGACAGACAGACAGACAGACAGACAGACAGACAGACAGACAGACAGACGTATACAGTAAAGAGTTGTTCTTCACGCCACAAGGATATTATGGATAGACTCGCTATAGAAGTTAACGAGACAGAATAACTGGCAAAGAAAAGAATGGCTTTCTAATAACGATAATGACTGTATCTGTAACGATTATGAGATAATTTCCGATGCTACAGAACGTTCAGGAACTGACCGAGAAAATAAAAAAAGTTGCTAGAAGAATACCCCCTTGCTGCTAGTGAGATCGGGACCATGTGGCAGAAGTCATGCCTTAGCCACGAAAGCCAAGCAACACAAAGTTGCTGATAAAACGACGCTAGATAAGCACCGGCTGTTTATCTTCTGGTATTACAAACACCGATATTCCTATCACAGTACGGCCTATGAATTTACCTCCAATCGTCTACAGAAAAAAATATGTTGACTTTCTAACACGTAGGTGTGGTCGTCAACGCGCTGGCACGCTCTGCGTTTTTTCTTACGTAATATAAACATCAGGGCTGATATGCAGATAGCATTCCCTTGCTCATTGTTTTGGAGGCACCTAGGGCGTGACCGTGGTTGACGTCTGCAGACGTCATTAGAGTCAATGTTTCTTCTTCTCAGCAAATCCCGCTGGTAAACTGCGGCGGAGTTTTCGTCGCGTGTCTACTTCTGGGCTACAACCTGTATTTTGCGCGCACATCCACCTCATAGATCTGGCTCACTCGTATGCAGACGGTTGGTTTCTGGCCGCTCAAGCAGCTGCTCTCCAACTATGGAGGGAAAGTGCCTAATTACTAATTAAACGATTGTAGCGACATGCTTTATAGGGAGCCAATGGCCCCCCCCCCCCCCCCGCACCACAAGTTGGGTCTCGGAATCCACTCGGAGAAAGTTGCCGTTTGACATACTTAGATATAGCAGTGTCCTGTTTTGGCCTATTGCCTGCATTTTTGTTTTCGGCGGTACTTGAAAGGTCAGCATCGCGTCAGTCAACTTTTCATCCCCTGATATTTTCTAGCACCTACTTTAGGCTTGGTCTACCTGAAAGCTCAGATTATCTTGTACTCAGATTATGCATTTTCTTATATTAACATTTAACATCCCACACATTTTTGATTGAAATACATTCACATACCACACTTTTTTTTTATTGAAATACACTGGAAGTGGGAAAAGTAGTGTTTGAAAAAGTCCGAATGTAAGACGGGCCTGCGTCCCCAATTTGTGACCCTTTAAAAATAGCATGCGTTCGTTTGTTCCATCATTTATGAAACTTCGCTTGGATATTGATTCGGACCCAAAACTAGTTGGCAAGCAAGTAAAAATCTGATGTTATCTATATGTTCTCTTTAGACATGTATTAGTTATATACCAGTGTGTGAAGACGTTTGAATGACTCCGTTATATTTTGCACTTTTAATTGATAGTGCGTGACCTTGTACATAACGTTAAATGCAGTCCATAGTTCAGAGCTACAGAACACCAGGGATCCCCAAAATGTACAGTAACGCCTCTGCGGACGACTAAGAAGAGAGAATAAAAGAAGAAGAAGACTGGGGCGGGGGTGGGGGGGGGAAAGAAGAAAGAATGGAACAAGTAAACAAAGAAATTGGCCGAGGAGACGAATTGGTAAAGTTATCGAAGGGCAGATAAAAGCTGCGCAAAGTGATAATTACCTTGGGAAGAGTGTGCCGGGAAGAGGCAGCGGGGTGTGCAGATGAAGAGGTTCAACAGCTGATAGAGGGATAGAGTACAACTTTAGGCCAGGAGATGGGCCAGAGTCCAGGGGCAGAACAAGTGAATGGGCTTCGCTGCAAAATCATCGAGAAGGATGATAGAGGAGAGATAGTATATGACATTACCACATCCAGCATAAGAATGATGATCGAAGGCAGTAATTACAGCGTTCCGATGTGGGGGGAAAATCTCATCCATTAGTATTGTCATTGTATCGTATTCGCAAAAGGTGACCGTAATGGTGGAGTGAGGTTTTCTGTGGATTGCGTCGCATTAATCCAGACGTCGCATGAAGTGAGAGTCATGTGAATATTTCGTCCCAGGCCATTTAGGTGTGTTTTGGAATGAGCAGGAAGATAGACTGGCTGGACTGTTCCCATGTGAAAGTGTACTGCAAGTGCACACAGTAGAGGCGACCTCTAACCTGTGGGACAAGGTAACAGGTGAAAGGAAAGATATTGAGAACCCGCCCCTGGAGAGAATAATGCAGCGAGAAGGGGCTGTGGGTTCTGGGCGCCACTCGAGACTCGGAGAGAAGACAAGACGAGTAGTTAACCAGATGACGACGAATACCATCAGTTTGGAAACTCTTCGTTGTCTGTTGAGGAGAGGGACGGAACTAATGTGGGCTTGTCCTGAATTCTGTGATGTCGAATCTTTTCCTAGACGAACCCAGAAGAAAGAAAAAGATTCTTTCTAAGGCAATGGGCAACTTAGGAGTGAAAATCCATCAGTTTGCACTCAAATAAGCCAGATCTGTAAAACTGATGTGCACACAAAATTCAAGTCCTGGAACAAGACCAAAGTACAAAACTAGCAGCCAGTGAACGCAAAGAAAGAAAGAAAGAAAGAAAGAAAGAAAGAAAGAAAGAAAGAAAGAAAGAAAGAAAGAAAGAAAGAAAGAAAGAAAGAAAGAAAGAAAGAAAGAAAGAAAGAAAGAAAGAAAGAAAAAAAAGAAAGAAAGAAAGAAAAGAAAGAAAGAAAGAAAAAGAAAGAAAGAAAGAAAGAAAGAAAGAAAGAAAGAAAAGAAAAGAAAAGAAAGAAAGAAAGAAAGAAAGGAAAGAAAGAAAAGAAAAGAAAGAAAGAAAGAAAGAAAGAAAGAAAGAAAGAAAGAAAGAAAGAAGAAAGAAGAAAGAAAGAAAGAAAGAAAGAAAGAAAGAAAGAAAGAAAGAAAGAAAGAAAACGAAGAATGAAAAGATTAAAGTCAAAAGTTATTACAGTTTCCTAGCACAATACAGATGAATATTGAAGTACAATAAGCAACTAAAAGATATAGAAGTTTCAAAGATCGGTCAGTGCAAAACAGAAATAAAAAACATTCTAGCAATGTTTTATGAAATAAAATAATATTCTGAAGGGAAAATGTTAAGCTTTCTCTAATCCCACTGGTTAATCTACTTAACAAATAATACTACAGAGTTAGTTATTATAACCGACATCATCGCCTACCCCAGCCAAATACGTATAGTGAGAAACCTAATAAAGCGTCGTTACCCAACGGTCTGATTTTTCGGGTGGCTTATTTACAAGACACCGTTTTGGACTTCATACATCAGCCGCTATAAATAGCCAATGACAAATCGTTCAGTGCTGGAGCGTGTCTCATGAGACACGTCTGACATTTATCGCTATGATCCTCTACGTTCAGTGCTATTTTTACATATGGTCCCTTTTATCAAAATGATCAAATAAGGAAAACAATAATAAATGAACTGTTAGTGTTCTTTACAATTCCTTCCTAGAAAACCAATACTGTTTAAGTTCTAGGAAAGGGCCAATGGTTGCTTCCTTTAAAGGTTTTTTTTTGGTTAGTAAGCATCTATTTTAAAATGCTGACCAAAGTACTGATAGTTGTCGCCTAGCTATGAAAAAGCCGACAAACCAACTGCGAAAAGATATTCCAACTTGGATAAATCAGTAACACAGATGGAGAAACTACTTTAAGCAAACTTTTGACGAGCAGCATCATCATGTTCGACAAAGACGCCACCGCACTTGTTGTCGACAACGGCTCGGGGACGTGCAAGGCAGGGTTTGCCGGCGATGATGCTCCTAGAGTCGTGTTTCCGACCGTCGTTGGCAGACCACGCCATCAGGTATAGTATATTCATTCATTAATTCATTCATTCATTTATTCATTCATTCATTCATTCATTCATTATCCTGTTGTGCCATTATATGCCAGATAGGGCTCGCATTCTATTCCTCCGTTCCGTTGTATCCGGTGCAGTCGGTTCAATATACTGGATGCAGTCCAGTCCGGCACCTTTGACCTCTCCCATCAGTGTTTGCTTTAGAATTTCTTTGTTGGCGTCCTCGCCTCCTTAATCTCTTTATTTCACACTCTAGTGCCTGTCTGGTGATTCTCTGCTCACTTTTCCTCAGAATGTGTTCAGTATAACTCTCTTTTCTCTGTCTGATAACTGATGATACTAGAGGTTGCCCAGGCATTTATCTGATTTCCTCACTCGTCTTTAACTCATCCAAAGTCGTGATCGTTGTTTTCGAATGGGTTTCACTTTCCTTCGGTGTCTTTAGTAGGTGTCCAACTTCCACTAGCATATGTTAAACTGAAATAAGGATTAGAAACAAAAATACGCGACGTGGTTTCAAAACAAAACAATTTTAGAGTTCCATATTTCGTTTAGGCTTTTAAAAGCTGCGAATGCCTTGTCAGTGCGAGATAAAGCATATGCTCACTTTAATTTTCCAAAAAAACTCGTAGGTTGTCCAATCAAAGTAAAAGAATAATACAGGTCATACAGCGCGTCCTTGACCACCGGCGCCTCTTCTATGCAGGTTGAACGGGGTATCTGGCAAATAAACATTGTTGGCATGCTGTCCATATTGACATTTTTTAACTTCCAGGAATGATATGGTAACCTTAGGTAGTAGCCCGGATAGAACAAACTGATCGATCGAAAGGTCGCACAAGGCGCCGACACAAAGAAAATATGGGATGGGTGAAGGTGCAGTCAGGTTGAAAACTACCTTAAATAGGGAGTGGTGTAGGCAGGGGGCCTTGAGCCTGAGGATTTAGGGCCGTCTGGCCAGCGCTGTCGCCACGGACTGTGCAGGATAGAGTGTTTAATTTTGTCCCCGACAGAAAAACTACATCATCTAACGGGTTTTGAACCCGGGTCTCCTGCATGAAAGCCCGATGTTGTAACCACTCGACCAGCTGACTTGAATAGGAAAATGTGATGCGCCTTATGATATGACGAGGGGTCTTTGTTATATGTTTATTTTACATTACTTATAGCTATTTTTTTTCTGAAGCTTGATAAGGCACCCAGGAGTAGTTAAAATATATGTTAGTATAAAAGATAACTATAAGTAAACATGCACTTAATTTTAACATTTCTTGAAGCCTCTCTTGAAACTTTCTTCCGTCTCCAGGTTGAAAACCACTGGTTGGGGAAATTGTACAGGCATTGTCGCGTGAAAATTGTTGCCTTTTATGTGTTTGTATTACATTTATACATACAGAAGAATGCTTAGAATACTTTGGACAGCCAAAAAGAGCAACCAAGAGGTTTTGAAAGAGGCGGGAGCTCGAAGACAACTAATCATAGACATCAGATGGAGACAGTCATCATTTTTCGGTCATGTTATGAGAAGAGGGAAAATAGAACATGTTGTGACCACTGGAAAGATTTGTAGCAGGAGAGATAGAGGAAGACAACGAGAGAAGATGCTTGACAGTCTTGTTGCATGGCATGGAGGTGTGTCGGCACACGAACTGATACATGCGGCAGGAGATCGCAGATTATGGAGAGGCATGATCGCCTACGCCAGTCGACAAGGCACCTGATGATGATGATTACATTTATATCACCCTCTGTAATATTCTGTTATTTGCTACATTATTTTCTCATTCTTTGCTCCATGTTTCAGATTTGTATGGCGGGTATGGATCCAAAGGACAGCTACGTCGGTGTTGAAGCCCAGTCCAAGAGGGGTTTCCTGACCCTCAAGTACCCTATCGAGGAAGGCGAAGTCACCAACTGGGATGACATGGAGAAGATCTGGCATCATACTTTCTACAACGAGCTGAGAGCTGCCCCTGAAGAACATCCAGTTCTGCTGACCGAGGCTCCTCTCAACCCTAAGGCTAACAGAGAAAAGATGACACAGATCATGTTTGAGATCTTTGGCACACCTGCCATGTATGTATCCATTCAAGCAGTTCTGTCTTTATACGCCTCGGGTCGAACTACAGGTGTTGTACTGGACTCAGGCGATGGGGTAACTCACAGTGTCCCAATCTTCGAAGGGTATGCCCTTCCCCACGCCATCCCTCGAATGAATATGGCTGGCAGAGACGTTACAGATTACCTTATAAAGATCCTGGGAGAACGCGGTAACAGTATTACGACCTCTGCTGAAAGGGAAATGGTTAGAGACATCAAAGAGAAGCTCTGTTACGTCGCATTGGACTTCGAACAAGAGCTGCACACTGCCTCAACTTCTTCTTCCATAGAAAAGAGCTATGAGCTACCCGATGGTCAAGTCATAACCATTGGCAACGAACGCTTTCGGTGCGCCGAATCAATGTTCCAGCCATCATTCCTGGGTATTGAAATGGCTGGAATTCATGAAATCACGTACAACTCTATCATGAAATGTGATGTGGACATTTGGAGAGACCTGTACGCCAACATCGTCTTGTCGGGTGGAACAACCATGTTCCCGGGTATGCCTGACCGAATGCAGAAGGAATTAACAGCTCTAGCTCCAGGAGCTATGAAAATTAAGGTAATTGCCCCTCCTGAACGAAAATATTCTGTGTTCATCGGGGGTTCCATTCTGGCCTCACAGTCCACCTTCCACCAAATGTGGATCACTAAAGAAGAATATGACGAATCTGGTCCTTCAATTGTTCATAGAAAGTGCTTTTAATCACTAGGTTGTTGAGTATCCTTTTCAGGACGTTGCAGAACCAACCCTAACAGCCTCTGGCTGTTGTGTGGTTTCTCTAAGCAAATTTACGTTCAGTAGTTTGCCATTGCTTCTGGACGGTCGGCTTTCTTGATACCACTGTTGAAACCAGTGGCTAGTAGACTTAAATGGTCGGGACATGTTAAAAGAATGTCAGATGACAGAGAAGTAAAAACTGCATATACCAGTGAGATAAATGGTTGTAGACCACGAGGCAGATCAAGAAGACGATAGGGAGATAATATTCAGACAGACCTGCAAACACTTGATGTCACCAACTGGAAAAAGAGGGTTAGCCAGAGAGATGAATGGAGTCGGGTGATATCTGCAGCAATGAACGTTAAGGGCGTGGAATGCTGAAGAAGAAAAACAATCACACATCTGGTGGGTCCACCTAGCCTTAAATGGGCACAAGGTAAAGTCCTGGGAAGTAAAGGCGACTGGTGTGGTGCTGACCCCATCATCCATCGAGATCTATTTTTTTAAAGAAAAGTGAATCTAGTCTCGTAATTCCGAAGTGTCACTGGCGTGTAAAGTGACCTTTAATTTACGTGTCACTCCCTAACACTTCAAACTGTCATACAATGTAATGTTGATACATGTAAACAAAGAATAGATTAACTGACTAAACGAAGCCCTCGGCAATAATTCATAAAAACGTATGTGTTGGCATTCAGAGAACACATTTAAAAAAAAAAAAACTGAGATCTGGTGTATGCTGATTAGAGTCCATTTGTAACAATTGCAATGCACTACTACATCTCTAAAGGAACTATATAGCTATTACTGCTGCTACTGCGAACTACTAGTAATGGTACTGCTGCTACTGCGAACTACTAGTAATGGTACTGCTGCTACTGCGAACTACTAGTAATAGTACTGCTGCTACTGCGAACTACTAGTAATGGTACTGCTGCTACTGCGAACTACTAGTAATGGTACTGCTGCTACTGCGAACTACTAGTAATGGTACTGCTGCTACTGCGAACTACTAGTAATGGTACTGCTGCTACTGCGAACTACTAGTAATGGTACTGCTGCTACTGCGAACTACTAGTAATGGTACTGCTGCTACTGCGAACTACTAGTAATGGTACTGCTGCTACTGCGAACTACTAGTAATGGTACTGCTGCTAACTATAGTAATGGTACTAGTACTGCAAACTACTAATGGTACTGCTGCTACTGCGAACTACTAGTAATGGTACTGCTGCTACTGCGAACTACTAGTAATGGTACTGCTGCTACTGCGAACTACTAGTAATGGTACTGCTGCTACTGCGAACTACTAGTAATGGTACTGCTGCTACTGCGAACTACTAGTAATGGTACTGCTGCTACTGCGAACTACTAGTAATGGTACTGCTGCTACTGCGAACTACTAGTAATGGTACTGCTGCTACTGCGAACTACTAGTAATGGTACTGCTGCTACTGCGAACTACTAGTAATGGTACTGCTGCTACTGTGAACTACTAGTAATAGTACTGCTGCTACTGTGAACTACTAGTAATGGTACTGCTGCTACTGCGAACTACTAGTAATGGTACTGCTGCTACTGTGAACTACTAGTAATGGTACTGCTGCTACTGCGAACTACTAGTAATGGTACTGCTGCTACTGTGAACTACTAGTAATGGTACTGCTGCTACTGCTACTAAAACAAGTACTTCTTGTTTCTTCTCTTCTTTTCTACTCCCTCTCCTTCTGCGTTTTCCCTGTAAATCTGTTTCAAAGATTTACGTTTTTGAATGCAGAACTGTTGGTTCCTAGCCTCTCAGGCGATGCATTCCGACTTGGAGGTTTGTAGCCTCCCTAGTTAGTCGCCTTGTACGACACGCTTGGTACGGGGCGGTGAGTGTATTCTTCCCCGGCCAGAAAGAGGGACCTGAAATCCATACGGCGAGAAGACCGTGGTAAAATATAGAGGGCTCATTTCCAGTCCTCGGGCGCTTTTATGCCAACTTAATATTTTGCAAAGCAACTGGGTTCTTGAATAAGAGTGCTCTCAAGACGTCTTCTCCTTTTTTCCTTTGTCCTACTGCTTATACTACAAAGCGTCACACTGAGGAGGTCTATATAGTTTCCGGTATTTTGCCTGTTCCGTAGCTTTTGTTAACGCCAGACTGCGTTCCCGTAATGTCTCTTTTACTGACTCCACCCATGACTGTCTTGGTCGGCCTCTTGCTTTTTATCCTCCTGTTCTCATATTGTACGCTTTAGCTGCTGGCTTATTTTGTGCCATTCTGGCCAAACAATTTCCTGACTATAACATTGTAAATAGAGATAATGTCACACATGTTTTGTCGAATGTAACAATACTCTTGGCAATAATTTTTTTTTTTAACGAACTCATGATTCATAACCCTATTGCTATATGACTGGTAAACAAATGATTTCTTAAACTTTCCTATCTGTGGACTGAATTGTTTTTGAAACCTAGCTAACATGCTGTTCAGTTTACAATTTCTAAATAGCTCACCTGTACAATTACAATTATGATTTATTCAATTTTCTCATTAATTAAACATTGACATAATTTGATTTGATTTCTTGTTTGTTGGTTGGCTGTTTGGCTGCTTGACCTATTTAGCTGAATGATTGTTTTATTGCTTGAATAACTGAACGCCTGGTTGATTGTATAGTTCGTTGATTGGGTGGTTAGTTGGTTCGTTGGTTGGTTGCTTGATTGTTTGGTTGGCTTGTTAACTAGCAGGTTGGAGATTGATCAGTTTGTTGGTTAAGAAAAGGTGCTTACGCTAACAGAAACATTTAAACGCATGAACATCAACCCAAAGCACAGAATAGCAAAAAACTTAACTAGATTCCCATTTAAAAGACAAAGCTTTCACTAAAATTGTACTACGTAAAAACAAAAACAAAAGTGACATACTTTCAAAAGACCCTTCACCATGGGAAATGATCTAGGCATACAACATAGATATGCAACCTCTCTAAAGTCATAACAGCAGTCTCTGAAATAGACAGAAAGGCTGAAAAATGTGACTTAGTACTGCATGCCAAGACCCTTAAACATGCCTACAGCTTTTACTCAAAACCCGAACTGACACACGTATACACCGATGGATCTTTTGAGGGAGCAGACAAAAACGGAGAAGATGGTTCGGTCATCATGCTGAAAGATGGGCCCACAGTGGAAACGTAATGTGCATCCTGGAAACTCTCAACAAACTTCAGTGTGGAGCGGCAAGCAATTACTGATGCGGCCAAAGTGCTCTGGAGCTGGAATCGAACCCGGAACCACGGCATAACAAAGCTCGTTCGCAACGCCTAAGCCACAGGCGCGACTATAAGAACTAATAGACAACATGTCTGGAAACGAACATACAAATTAGTTTGAGAACTAATATAAAAGAAGCTTGGAAACTAACATAAAGATTAGTTTGGAAACCACACAGAGAAATGTTTGAGAACTAACAGAAAGTAAGTTAGGGAACTAACATGAAAACTAGTTTGGAAACCACACAAACAGAGAACTTAGTTTAAGAACCAACAGATAAATTGGCGTGAGAACTACCTTAGAATTTATCTTGAGAACCAGAAGAATCATAAACTGAGAATCAACAGAACTTTTGGTTTTAAATCAGCGGAGCAATATATGTTAGAACCAATAAAGAAATTAGTTTTGATATTTAGAGAGAAAAGACACAAAGGATTTAGCTCGGGAGCTAGCAGCGAAATGAGTTTCAGGACGAGAAGTTACTTTGAAAGAACCAACAAAGAAAATATTTTGAGAACCAACATGGATGGCTAATTGACAGCTTCGTGGGAAGTCTAACTTGAAACAGATGTATTTGTGAACAGCGGGTGTTTGGTAATGAATGCTGATACATCAACGGTAAATTAGGGACAGAAAAACACGCATTAGGCAGTTTTTAACACAGGTTCAACCTAGTTGTCCTTCTTCAACAACACAATTATACAATCGTAAATGAATTCTCACTGGCGTGCTTTCAGATGGAATATAACAAATTAAATGCTCTCTCTCTCTCTCTCTCTCTCTCTCTCTCTCTCTCTCTCTCTCTCTCTCTCTCTCTCTCTCTCTCTGTGTGTTTCTTTCTTTCTTTTTCTCTGTGTGTGTCTGTGTGTGTCTCTCTCTTGTTCTTTCTTTCGTTCTTTCTTTCTTTTTTTTTCTTCCTTTATCTTTCTATCTCCATGTCTACACCTCACTATTTCCAGCTCGAACTCTCTCCCGCTTTTTCTCTGTCTCTCCCTCACATACGCACACTCATTCTCGCCCAATCGTTCTGTTTCTCTCTCTCTCTCTCTCTCTCTCTCTCTCTCTCTCTCTCTCTCTCTCTCTCTCTCTCTCTCTCTCTCTCTCTAACTCACATACACACACACACAAACATTCATTCCAACGCTACGACATTCACACACAAAAACTCACTCGCACTCACCTTATGGCTATCTCTCTCTCTCTCTCTCTCTCTCTCTCTCTCTCTCTCTCTCTCTCTCTCTCTCTCTCTCTCACACACACACACATTCTCTCTCTCTCACATACATACAAGCACGCACATTCACTTTTACTCGATTGTATACACATATATATACTGATTTACTCTGACTCTTTCTCTTTCTCACCCACACAGACACACATACACCCATTCACACTCACATACACACAATCACTCTCACTCACCTATGCTCTTTCTCTCTCTCTCACACACACACACTCACACACACACCCATTCACACTCACTTACATACATACAATCACTCTCACTCACCTATGTTCTATTTATCTCTCTCTCTCTCTCTCTCTCTCTCTCTTTCTCTCACAAACACACATACACACACACAGACACAATCACAGACACATATCCACTTTCACTCACCTGCCCCCTACTCACTAACACACACTTTCACTCATCTGCCCCACTCACTAACACACACTTTCACTCATCTGCCCCCTACTCACTAACACACACTTTCACTCAT